CTCTCGTATCCAGTGGTCCACACTTTTTCAGTGTGCCAGATTCTGTGGATGACATCCTCTGTAGCAGAATGTCATTTGGAACTTTACCCACTGCCTTCATACTTTCTTTTCCAGCGTTCCACTTCACTCCAACTCGTTACTCGAAATCTTCCCACGACCTCCTTTTCTGAAGGTTTTCTCCTTTTCATTGCTCGATCAACAGAAAAAGACAATAACAAACAACACTTTTTTATGATCAACCAAGGACCTTCACAAGACCTTCAGTGTATGGCTACAAGTTTCCGCCATTTTGAAAAGCCGTCACAGAATTTTGCTGAGAAACTTGTTTTGAAGCTAGTGGCTTCGTTTTCTAGTCACTGTCTGGCTTATGAGCTAAATCTTACCAGAAGACTGTTTAAAGGCCGTGTAGTTCACAATGTTCAGTTACAGCTGCAAATTGAAAATATTATTTTCAAAAGTTGGGGCATGCATAGAAAGCATGAGATGGTTTCATGGTTTTAAAGTAACACAGCTGCAGTCACAGATTTCGCTTTCGCTTCTTTATTCGCTTTTATTGCTAACCTTTTTTTCTTTCAATGGACACTGTTGCTGGCTTCATTTGGGTGGGGAAATATTGGGAAAGCTTTTAAATAGTGATAGCAGGAAGTGATTGGTTAATTGGAACATAATTATTTTTGCAATTTTTAAATCAATGTTACATGGTTTTTTTGTCTTTTCCTCTGGCCCCCTGTACTGAATATTTGTGCTCACTCTTCCCCTTCTTCAAAGTTGTCTTTGACAAGGGCATTGAGAATAGGATGAAAGCAGTGCAGTGGCTATAAAGCTAATAAAATACAGTGCATGATACAATGCCAAAGAAAATTTTTTGTTAAGTACAGTTATGAGAGGAGAAGTAATAGTAAAGACCTTTACTAGCTTGTGGTTGTTACCGCAGATGCTATGTTTCCCCAATGTAGGTCATGTGTGACAACATTTAGGGCATGGAAATCAAGCCTAGCCATGTGATAGTGCTCCAAAGAATGCTTTCTTTAAAATTGTGTATAAGTCACATCAATAATTTTTGGACACAAGACCTATATAAATTTTAAGGTTATGATGGGTAAATTGTTGTGAGAACACCTCTTCATTCACACTGGGGGAAAGCAAAACACAAGCTAAAAGGAATTTACTGTCTCTTCTTAAGATGTAATACCACTGTCTAATATTCAGCATAAAAGCTACAATCCTGCATTGAAAGTCTTTGGAACAATGATTGAGTATTTGTAATTTATTTGTGCCCTGGCTCATAGCCAGGTGCTACCCTTTTGAAAAATACCCTGTACTAAATCTATCACTGTTTCCCCACACCCTTTACATATTGAAACTGCGTGCATATATCCAACATATTTCCTGTAGGGTGCAGAATAGGGTTGGGCATGCATGATTTTATATGAAAAACACAAATTAACCCTAACTTGTTATAAGAATTTTGTCCATGCTTTTCTCAACAAAGGTATGATTAATAGCAATCCAACAGAGAAGGAAGGGTAAGCCTTGCTGGAAGCAGTGACATATTGTTTCAACATGAGAAGAGAGATTTCATATCTCCGAGCGGCCATGCAATATATTCCACTTATTTTATACCACTGAAATACTTAACCATTTCACTTATTAAATGAATAATTTTTTTTCTGTAAAAGGTGTGAGTTGTTATATTGTACCATAGCAATGGTGATCTTTTCACATGCAAATTAGACTACGAGTAGTCCCCCATTTCTCCTCAGGGATACTGGAGCGAGCGAAACGCGAGCGCGCGTAAAAATCATCCCACGCGAGAAAAGGCGCGCGTGGGGTGATTTTCACGCCCGCTCGCGTTTCGCTCGCTCTACTATCCCTGAGGAAAAATGCGGGAACTACTCGTAGTCTACATGCAAAGATAACTTACTTGTTATTTTGACATGTGAAGATGTCATGTTTTCGAACACAAGCTCACCCAATATTTCATTGGCGTTTATAAAAATATGATAAAAAGCATATTTCTTTCATTTTTCTGAATTGGGTCCTTATGGAAGAGATCTAGAATCATCCAGCTTCAATTTCTGTCTACAGCTGGTTGATGTGTGAAGTGACCAGCACTGATTTATGTAATGTTTTGTATAGCTTTTTATCACTTAATGTTTTTTACTAAGTATTTTACAAATTCAATATTGCTCAGGTTTAAAACTTCAGCTATTCAATAACTTCATAAATTTTGTATCCATGTAATGTCAGTTTCAATGTTATGCCTACCGCCTACCAGTATGTTTCCTTTAATAATTCTACTCAAATGTAGCTCATATTACAGTTACCATTAAAGAACGAAGCATATACTTGTGTACTGTCCTCGTTTCGCAGGGCTTTTGCGCCGTTTCATAGCTTTACCGTGCTTGTTTTGACTCGTGGCTTTAAGCGTGCCAGTCCGTCTCGAATAAAGGCCCCGGGGGACTTAGGGTTTAAAGAACGAGTTATGCTACGTGGGTACCGTGCTTGTTTCGACTCGTGGCTTTAAGAGCGCGTTATGCCATTCGCGTAGCGTGCTCGTTTCGGCTCATTGCTTTAAGAACGAGTTGTATTTTTTGTGTAGCGTGCTTGTTTTGACTCATCGCTTTAAGAACGACTTATGTGTACCGACGTCCGTGCTTGTTTCGACTCATGGCTTTAAGAACGAGTTCTGTTGCCTGTTAGGCTTGCCATTCTCGACTTAGGGCTTAAAGAACGAGTTATGTTACACGTGCAGTGTGCTTGTTTTGACTCATGGCACGACTAGACTTCGTGAGATTCCATCGGAATCGATGTGTTTCCAATGGATTCGATGGACTCCATCGGACGACTTTCCAACCCTCCTCTAAGTATTGTTTACACTTCCGGTTTCATCTCATGACTAAACTTCCGGTAACTCAAGTGGACTCTACTGAACTTCCGATTTCATTTTTCGACTAGACTCCGTCGGACTCCAGGTTTTGTCCACTGGAATCTGGTCGAGAGTATTGGACATGTGTGCGTGTGGACTGATAACTCTGGATTGTTCAATGTTGTTGTTGTTGTTGTT